CCCTGTTCGTGGGGAATAAACTGAACGCAAAAGAATCGCTGTCCCTTATGTAGCAACTTAGAGAGAACATTTTTTTTAGAGGATAAAACTTATGCCGGACCATATAGCTCACGCATCATTCATTGTAGTTTCAACTTAGGCTGCATTACGTGGCAATTTGTTTAAGACGTAGCAATTATAATGTTGTCATGATCGGCATACCGCCGCCAACGTCGCTGTTTATATCATTATCTTAACGGTGGCATATTTCAACCTTCATAACTATTAATTTCCTACTGTTTCGTATAATCTCATTTATTGCGCTGAACAACTGTTGAACAGTTCATTTCAATAACTGCATTGTTAAACCTTCGGTAGGGTTAACAATTAAACAATATGTTAATCTCGCCCCGTTCGTTATGTGTTCGCTTTATGCTTCTATCGAACGTGATATCATTCCAAGAAAGCACTGATAGTGTAGAGTGTAGAAGCCATTCCCACTGATGGGACTCGAAACGATGCAGCTAGGTAATGCATAAGACTGATTGGCGAATTTCAGCTGATAGACAAGGCAAGGAAACGTTCTCAAAAATCAAATCCACACTGAACAAACATATTTCAAGAGTGCACGTGTCTCGTTGTCGTTGTATCCGTTATTCCTCGTCAGACCTATCGACTTTCTGAATACCGAGAGGGGTCTAGAGTGTGTGTGTGGGGGGGGGGGGGGGGGGGGTGCTGGACCCTCGACGCCGTTTCGCCCATAATTAAGCTAAAATCCTTGCAAACAAAAACAACACCCAGCGATTCACAATCATGTTAAAAGTGTCAGATGAACATGTGACCTCTGAGGTCAGGTCACGTGCACTAGTGCAGGGTGTTCATTAGTGAATGACATAAAGTAAGCCCCCGCTGGAGCCCCAAATGATCGCCGGCCATCGTGCAGACGAACCTTCGACGACTCACGGCAGCGTTCAGTTCATCAAGGGTCTTGGACTCTTGAGTTCGCTCCGCAACTTGAGTTGCTTGAGGTTAAACAGTGAGGTCCAAGCACGAAAAATCCAGACTGCAGAGTGACCAGGGGTGCTGGATCTTGTTCAGTTGCTCGAAGGTGAAGAGAGTCTAGCAATTCTTCAGTAATCTGTCCAGTATTCACGTTCGCAATGGATAGAAACCTGGGAAGGCATTTTTTTTTTAAATATATGGACTAGTGCTGTCAATTACAGAAAGTCGTGATACCGATACCAAACCAAATACCAACAGGAACCGTGGGAAAATACCGAAACCGAACCGACTTGGGAATATCAGGGAAATGCCAACTTTTTACCAAAGTCACAGTCTCTTTTACATTAGCGAGGATTCACAACACCAACAAAATACCAAATGTGTTAGCCTCGAAACGCCAAATACCAAGTTGGTATCGGTTTGGTATCGGTATGCCAAAAAGTTGGTATTCGATTGACATCTCGTCATCATCATACGCAGACGGCACCACACAGGCCAGGTGCCGTCTGCGTGGCGCCGGGCGACCATCAGGAGTAAACTTCGACTGTGAATATGACCACAAAAATAACCCGTTACCCGTTACTCCTACCCTACCCTTAACCCGTGATTGTGAATACGGCCACTGAAGACATCCAAGGCCAGTGTCACAACTGATTTCTGTTTGTGCGATGTAAAATGTCTAAGATTTATCATTCCAACGGTGAGCTGTTTATGCAATACATTGTCTTACGCCTCTGGCGGGGGTTCAATTTATGTCATCTTTTATTGATCACCCTGTAATTTAGAGGATAGCGCGTGGATGTTTAAATGCGTTTATCCCGCACCATAGACAGTGTTTACAATTGCTTCACGTGCAAAGAGAGAAAGTTATCAGATATTGTGTAACTTTGTGTATATTGTGTAATATTGTATATTGGTTTGTAAAACGTCTAGGCGATTAATAAACTGTTAAACGTCTAGTAGACATTTCGTCTAGTACGAAATCTGTTGTATTTTTATATAAAATGTATTCCTTATCATTAAGCGCTCGAAAGATATCGGCGGTAGGGAATAAAATTATTAAACCACTCGTAGGTAGAAAAATCATTTAAACGTCTCGCCTAAAGGCTCGACGTTTAAAAGATTTGTTCTGCCTACTCGCGGTTTAATATATAACCACCCTGTATTTCAGTTGGAACGGTAGTTAATGACAAAAAACACCGATATCTATGTAACGTCATTTATGACGTTGCACATGGTTCAAAACGCAAAAGTTGAGCATCAATCTTGCAAGGAGTGAAGCGACACGAGCACGACTCCATGTGCAAACGATAGTCTTAAATCATTTTTTCAGCAAAATAAATTTTAATATTTCCCTTGTTGAATTACGATGGTGAGGTCACGTCATTGACCTAGCTTTACCTGACTGCTTTATAGAAAATTACGAGACATAAAAGTTGCAAGGTCTCGGAAGAATATGAAGTCTTGTGAATTTTATTTGCCTGCAGAAGTTGACCTAGCAATGACGGAGTTGCCAAGCCCTAATATTTTAGGACCGAGTGAAGTCTTTTATGACGTAATAGGTCAGTGACTCGACAAGAATTGAAAATGTAATTGGTCGTTGGTGTCACCAGAGAATCGGCTTGAATCAAGTCAGGTGTGCTATTTTTCAGCTTTCTATGATTGCCTTGTTGAGAGTAATCGCAAGAAGTCTGGGGTAGGTAACACCCGTCACCCTCAACCATGGAAAGTTATGCTTTTGCGGAGTGACCTTCAAAGCTAGTGCGCCCCATGCACTGTCGTTTTTCAGCTTGCTGTCGGTTTTCCAATACATGGAAGCCAGTTACAGCCTACAGGCGTCTCTTAGTCTCTCATTGGTCAATCGCACACACCACGTGTGGTCCATCAATGACCAATGAGAAGATGAGAAACGCCAGCAAACTGACAGCATGCCGATTTGGTGGGCAAACGGCGCCCTGACCACACCCCCTCCCATCTATCGCTGACACCCTGCTCGGTAACTCGTCTCGAGACGCGACTGAGCCAGGCCCTTCGACCGGTTACCGCCGCCGGCATAATTCCGCCTGATTCCGACTGCGCCGCTGGACACCACACTGCGGCGAGCGACCCCGCTGTCAGACTCGGGCCGAATGCACCCCCTCCCCTACCCCCACTCGAGCTGTGGCGAGGGTGAGGGTATTCACCGCATCAAACCTACAGGCCGCCTGGACCCTTATCTTGAGACCAATAGTACATAACTAAAGATGCCAATCGGATAGGGTAGACCGGGGCAAGTCGCCCCGCCGAGGTAAAACGCCTCACCGATATTTCTCGGAACTGGCAGAGTTCTGTGGAAACATCCTCTCTTCTATAAAACGTGCACTATATGATCATTATATGAGCAGACTGGAAAGAAATTGTGATGACTCTTTCGGGAGATATAGCCAAAAATGTGTTTTTTGAGCGATTTTTTTTGTTTTGTTGTCAGATTATGCATCATGGCGTTCTTTTATGGTCCACATCAGGTTAACGACTTTTATGTATTTTGAACAACTATTGTCGAACGCTTATCATGCCGGGTTGGTTCGTGTTAAATTATGTCTTGCTGGAGTGCAAAGCGTTGTTCTCTGACCGAACTACGTGATTGGGGTAAAACGCCCCAGTATGTCGCGGGGCAAAAAGCCCCATGGGGCGTTTTACCTCATGTGTTGTTCGGGCTACCCACTTTCTAATGTTCGGTAGCTGGCGAACAGATAAGTTTCTATGCCTTTATGTGTATTTTTCTCAGCAACTGGATGGCAAAGGAAGCATTCTGTAAACATTTGCATTGCAATAATTTATTATTTGGTCTTATGAGGCAGGTGAAAAACCTGTTCATACAATAGTGTCATAGCTGAACACCTGACAGGATGGAATGTGCTAACTTAAGAGCCGTGCCTCCAGAGGTCTAACGGACCTCTCACATAAGAATAAGCCAATTACCATGTTAAATCTGTAATCTTAAGTATGGGGCTACTGGCCCCAGGCCGTGGGGCGTTTTGCCCTGGGGTTGGGGCAAAATGCCCCTTTTGCAGTTGCTTCACAAATCACTTCCTAGCTTGGAGTCCGATCATAAGTGAATGAATTTGAGGGGTGCAATTTAAAGTAAAATGTCCAAAGAACGCATTGAGCACAAATTTGGCCTTCCAGGTGATGTGGGACAACATTTATATAGCAAAATAAATTATCTGGGGCGTCTTGCCCCAGGCTACCCTACCTTTTTTCGCATGCATGTTTACCAAACCGATACCGATCATTTGCAAGATGCTTTGAGTTTGGTAAAAGGCTGATATTTCTATTTTTCAAGTTTGTTTGGTTTTCGGTATTTTCCAATTGTTCCGGTCAGTAGGTATTTGGTTGGGTGGTGGTTTCCAAATTTTCCGTACCTATACATCATTAGCACATCCATGTTAATGTCATACCCTGATTCGCCGTTCCCTATTCACACTTTAAAATTCATGCTTTCGCCAGTTTGGGGGGAGTTGCGACGTTTCACCGTCTTTGTTTTACGTCTATAGAAAAACAAAACAGCAAGACGTAGCGCCGTGAAGCATCGCGAATCTTATAACAGGTTAATTTTGATCACAACTGATTATTTGATTTGGGGTTTAGAGCGCCCGGACTGCGGTGGCCATCGGCGTCCAATTGGACCCCGGGTCAACAGGCCAAGTCGCGCACAGCCGCACACACACATACACACCCGCACACACAAACACATGGCGATGGGGCTCTCCCTCACTACACAGCCGGTTGGCCCAAATATTGCCAGGCCGAATTCTGTCATAATGTCATAGACCACTGCCCCAATGTCGGTACAGGTACGAGTACCTACCTACTACCTGCTTTACATGAAGGACGATAATCGCATTTGCAAACTGGAACATTCGGCACTCCTGAGAGGAAGAACACAAAGGTATCGAGTAGATCCCAGACAGAGTATGGGCAGGTCCCTAGCTGCTGCGGTCAGTGACCAGTTGACCACCGCTGCAGGCAGCACTCACATGAAGCCTTTGGTCCAGGCCAGAATGCGGGTGACGTCGGCTCTGTTCTGCGTCATCTGCGTGACGCTGCGGCCGGCGCCCAGCTCCACCTGTCGGTCACAGACGCAGCACAAAGCCCTCAACAACATCCATCTTCGGAACACAAAATGGTCGGCCGATGTAGGGCGCAGGTCAGGTCAAGGTCACGGCAACGGAAAACATCACAAGTTTTAACATTATTGACTTTGAAGCCCAGTTCGCGAAGAATGAATTCGGTTATTGATCATCTAGAATGCATTATTGGGCTATCAAGATCAGTTGCATTGCATTGAATGTCGTGAAAAAGTCAAGGTCAAGGTCAGATCAGGTCACCAAAGACAAACTATTGAGTAGGATATGTGCGACACATGTTTTATGGGTTATTTTACTCATAGAACTCAATAGGAATTCTCAAACAGTGATATGTTATGGACAACACCTACTTTGAAGACGTTAAGGTCAAGGTCAGGTCAAGTGAAGTCAAACACTGAAGTTGGCTTGTAAGATCAAAAATGGTATTTATCAGATAGTTGTTTTTCACGACGAATCGAATGGTGCTATTTTGCTATCCTGTACAAGGTCAAAAAGTTACTTAACCCTCGCCGGCACAGTGCCATTTTGCGTCCTTCGACGGCTTAAGAAGAGGGGGGGGGGGTACGACCCCTTCCTCACGTTTGGCCCCTGATCGAGCTAGAGCTTCGCAGAAAAAACCAGAGTGTTGCCCGTCAAGACAGGAAGCCGGCGATACCCAATTCTAAGGTTCTAGGTCATCCTGTTGACCTTACAGGTCAGGTCAATGACCCAAAAGTCGGCAAAATCGGGACCTGTTAGAAAGTCGGTAAAATGTGGCTGTTATGTTTTTTTCGGGGTGCTGATCACGAAAATGGTGTTAGTTTTGATAACAGATGATGTCTTTAACCAGCGCCCCGTTGGGCTCTGCCGAGCAACGCGCCCTGTTGGGGGGGGGGGGGCAATTTGCCCCCGCTAAGATCTCGAGAACCACGCAACCTAGCGACAAGCGGTAAACGATGTTGGATAGCCCTATCAGGGAACTACCTTGTGACCCAATTTTATTGACCTAGGTCAAACCGATGACGTCACAGGTCAGGTCAAAGTTCGAATTTTTACCGTTTACAGGTACTTCAAGAAATGCGTTGTAAAATCGAGTAAAATGCATTTCATTGAAAATCATCGATGGGGAAACGTTCTTCAAACACATATGTTGCTAGTTGAGGTCACTGATACCAGGTCAGGTCACAGAGGTCAGGTCACTGGGGGATCACAATATGAAAGTGTCGTGTAATACATGATTTATGGTCCATTTTACATGACAAATGCGTTCATGTGGGTCAGGCAGCCTTTGGGGCCAGCTTAGGTCACGTTTTGGTCAAGGTCAGGTCAAAGTCAGGTCATTGTCAGGTCAAATTAGGTCAAATTTCAAAGTTGATATTTTTGCATAAAAAAGAGGTATCGATCTCAAATTTAGTATGTAGATAGAAGGCGGTAGGAACTATCACATATCTTCCGTTTTTTTTCGAAATTCAAACAACTTTCTGGATATTTCGGCTATTATATAAAAAAAAAACTTTTTTTTTTATTTTTGGGGGTCAATCTAAAACTTTCAAAAATCCGAGATGGCAGTTTTGTAGCCCTCTAAATTGTACACCTTTTATGTTTTAAACATTTTTTATGTATCTCTAAAGCTGTAGTTAGGTCTGACAGCTCTTCTCGCGAAACCTTTTTTTGGGTCGAAAATGGCAGAAATGACGTCACTCTGACGTCATTAGCGTCCAACCTATCAAAGCCTTTGGAAGAAAATTGGTCACAATGTGCAATAGCTATTCACGAGAGGGTACTGAAAGTTTGGTGACCATCGGCGCAGCGGTTCTCGAGATATATCGAAAAAACTAAAGGGGGGGGGGGGGCAAAAAAATGTCCCCCACCACCAGGAAGGTTAAGTCGGGATGGTCACTTTCAACATAAGTTTATGGGTAGGTAAATATGACACATTGAATCCGAAAATTTAAGAATTGTGTAATCGTGACCCGCGACCCCTCTTTGTGCCCCTGATGTCATTTCAGGTCATCAAATGTCCCCAGCTTCAAAATACATGTTGATGGAGACATGCTAGTGCGATGAAAACACGTCAGATGTATTCAGCGATCGATGATACGGATCAACCGATATGCAACATGTCCCTTTACGGTCAGGTCACGACCTTGGCCCGAGGTCAAATTTTCCAAAAGACCTTTCAAGGGTCTTTTTATTATCCTAGTTAATTCGACGCGTCTCGAGAAAAGGGTGCTGGCAAAAGTAATGCCGTGACTCTCTTGAGTCAAAAGTTATTACAGGAAAAAAACATTTTCCATGTCGCTACTTTTTAGTTTTTACCTCCTGGAGGCTACACCGTTGACCTGAGGTCACATCTGAGGCATGTTGGCGAAAGAGCTTTCCAATGCGCTTTTCCGTAACGCTGTAGCTCTATTGGTTCCCGAGTGATGCGCCAGGTTTTAAATATTGTTGAAATAGACAAAATTTGACTTTTGCTGACCTCTGGCCGCTGGCGGCCTGACCTTTGACCTGATATAAGAAATAGCCAATTGTTTCCTTCCTTATTTTTGACGCTCTTTCGAATGTCGCTAGCTGCGTGTCGCTACGTGGTCAATGAGCCGAGTTAGATGGGGGAGAATGAAAACGCCTCCTCCCCCAACCCCAGCATGACACGGAAAACTCAGACCGCCAGCACGGCGCGTGTTAATTGCACAAGTCGATCACTTGTCTACCTGATTAAAGCCCTCTCGTTTGGACCAAGAAGATTGACACAACTTTGGTTTGCACTACATAGAACGGCTGAATGAAACGGTGCTGCGCATCACCATATATGTAATGACCTGATTTTGTGGTGGGCGTCAAATGTAGTTACCTCGTGGGTGGTATAGTAGACTACAGAATGATGTTCCACTTTTCACGGGCAATTATTTGCCTGGAGTGGTAGGCTGTGCCGCATCACACGGGCTGAGTTCACAAATTATAGCTTTGTCCCAATGCTCACAATCGACACGCTTAATTGCGTGATAAACGGCACAACTTAGCGCTCCGGTCAACTAATAGCTTCTGAGGAGAGGAACATCATTCTGTAGTCGACTATACAGCCCATTAAAATGCTAGCTTCTTCAATTGTCCCAAAATTCAGACGTTTAAAACTTTGCTTACTTTTTAGGGGAGAGTGGGGTAAGATGCCCAGGGTGGGAAAGACACCCCCTCTAGCGGCGAAACAAAGAATCGAACCTGGAAATTAATGTTCTTAGCATAAAGCGGAAGCCTGCCTTGTAACCTGCACAAAAATTTGCGAAGCTCAGTTGGGCAACGGCTGGCTGGTGATTGCATGTTTTTTATTTGCTGCTTTCAAAAAAAAATTTGGTGTCAAAACATTGTAAATATCAAAGAAGGTAGATAATTTTTGCGTCCCTTGCTATAGTCGTGATACATTAACATGCGTGTACCGCTGTCCCAAACAGTTTGTTTCAGTGTGTAGTTTTATGGCTAGCAAATTGTACTGATTTAAGCCCGAATCGCGATTCGGCGTATGTCGGCTCGCATTAGCCGCGCGTTTGCAGTCTTTTCGTGGTTCCGAGCGTTAAACATGCGATTTGATGCTGCTCTCATGCATTAGTGTGGATGTCAAGGTCAACTGAAGCCTGAAGGTCAGGTCAGGTCATTGACCTTGGATGACCTCCGTCCACTTTTTTCGAGTTTTACATGTTTCTAGGCTAGTTTTTGGAGCTGAGTTCGAATTCAGCAACCATTCGAACATTTACGAAGTAGTTTTGGTGCCTTCGTAGCATGTTACGAAGCTGTCAGAGGTGGTTGACACGTACAACGAATACCCGGCACGACCCTTACTGGTTGACCTGACCTGACCTGACCCGACCTGGCCTAAATACATGAAGACATCATCTGTGATTAAGACTAACATGATATTCGTGATCAGCACCCCGAAAAACCCCACAGCAGCCAGACTTTACGACGTTCTAACAGGTCCCGATTTCCCCGACTTCTGAGTCATTGACCTGAGCTGGAAGGTCAACCAATGACCTAGGACCCTATACTTGGAAATAATCTGCTTTGTCTCGTCAGGAGCAGCACGCTCGTTTTTTTCCGCGAAGCTCTAGCTTGATCAAGGGGCGAACGGTAGGGGGTCCAACGGACCCCCTACTGCGTTCGCGGCTGGCAAAACACCAGTATGGGCGAGGGTTAGCTCGAGGGTACTGAAACTTTCGTCGCAATCGGTCGCTTTTTACGCGAGTTATTCGTGAAAAACCGAGGGGGTCCGTTCGACCCCCTGTAAGTGTGAGGGGTAGGGTTCATAATTAGTTCCGTTTCGTTTTCATTTAAATCCAAACAAACTTTTGAATGCTCTGTCACTTTCACAGAGATACAAAGCACGCCCATGTTTCATCTCGGCTGGCACTGTCATCGATCCAGAGTATTCTGGGAGGAGAGAGTTATCTGGTGCGCCGGGGTGTTTCTGTAGCTCCAGGGGGGGGGGGGGCGGCGCCCTCCGGCACCAGAGACCCCAGCTGACTAATGCATGTGTCAGGGGCCGAGGTCTGCACACAGCCCGCAGCCGCCTCCTCGTCACGCTGTGTTATAATTCTACATTTATCGCCCTCCGACCGAGGATTTCAGCCGAGGCTTTACCAGATACCCGCATAAGGGTCATCTGCTCTTATCTCAGAGACGGCGTATTCCCCAGGTGTCTTACTTGCTTTGAGGCATTTAACCCGCGACCTGGTGGGGGGGGCTATTTTTTGCCCCCCCCCCCCTCCAGACTTTTCGATATATCTCAAGAACCGCTACGCCGATCGTCACCAAACTTTCAGTACCCTCCCGGACATCAATTTTACACATTGTGACCAAAAATTTTTTCTAAAGGCTATGATAGGTTGGCCGGAAATGACGTCAAAGTGACGTCATGTTCTGCCGTTTTCGACCCAAAAAAAGGTTTCGCGGGAAGAGCTGCCAGGCCTATGGCTTTGCAAATACAGAAAAATGATAAGCAAATAAAAGC